TTTCTGAGTATACCACAGGATGGCTGGGGAATGGCTATCGCCATTCAACAGCACCTACTGAACAATTGAAACCACATCCTTTGCAGTAGTGAAGTATCCTATTTTGTAAATTCTCATATAAAGTTGATCAGTGGGGACCCTGGAGGTATAAAAAACAAAATTATGTTTTTTTTTCAATCAACATTTTAAAAAACCAAACAATGACTCATTTTTCTCCTTCCTTCTGAAACAGGAATCAGGCATTTGTCTTTGTGCTAAACTTAATCTTCTGAATCCCTAAAATGTTAACAATTAATTTTCCAACCTCATTGTACGTGAAAGACTATTCATTCTTCAGGGAAGTGAGTCACCATCAGCAGAAATCGGCATAACAGAAGGCCTGCAGGCTCCAAGTACAAGCCAATCATTAGGCAAGAGGCTCCCCCTCGACCCCCCAATCAGTAACAACTGCACTCTTCATAGAAACATGGTAACCAGGTATGACCAGGACCACTAGTTCCTGGTGGATACTCACAGTTTTAAGATCCTTATATCAAACTCCAAGTCAGTGAGAACAATTCCCTCAGTGCTCAACACCGACATGCAACCAACCCTCTCAGGCAACAGAGTGCCAGGCTTCATGATATAAAATCTCATCAAATGTTGACACATTTTTACTTTTTGTCCAAACTAAGACAGAGCCCTGATAAAATAAATGTAAAAGGTTGATCCCTTGTTGCCATGTAATGAAAATAAGGTCTTGTTACAAATCTGGTTGTCAGTTAGTGTAGGAATAACAATTTCAAAGAAGATCTGCCTATGAGATCAAAGGAATGTTTTCTTGGGAGAGTGCAAGTCTGTGTTTTAAGTCATACACAGCTTCTGAGTCTGTTTCAGTTCTTTTAAAGGGATATTTTAAGACCCTCTGCCCCATTTGTCTTTGTGCTACTCACGGCAACCAGCACGTTGCCTTTGTACACCTCAAGAATGCAGTAAAATATTTGTTGCACACAGTTCCTGACAACCAACATTAAAGGATCCCAAAGCCAAGCACAGGAAAACATATTTCTAAGACACTTGTACCCTATGACTCAGAACACAAATCTAAATACTGTTTCCAGGAACTTGCTTCTTTTAAAAATTGTGCACTTCTACAATATTTTACATTTTGTTGCTATTTATAGAACATGCAAGTAAAGCTAACATTATTTTTATACTTAATTCCTCATTTGACAGAAATGTACCCAAGTCATATCAGCCCATTATGCACAATGTGTTTATTCTCCCAAATTAAAAAAAAGGTATAGTGGCTGCCTTAAACCTGGCTGCAATGGGTTTCAAAGCCCAAATGCAACATATTTCACATGAAAACATCAAAATCATTACATTGCTAACAAACCCAAACAGGAAAAAATTAGAGTATATTGGAGTGGGAAAAAGTGCCGGCTGGAAATAGGGACAAAGGGGTTCTTGTCCCTGCTCAGCCATTAATTGCTATATGACCTTACCTAATCAGTTAGCCTCTCTGGGCCCTTTCAAACTACACGCTTCGATCTGGCATGCATCGCACTGTCCTGAAAACTGACTTATATGCATGCTGCCCTCCCCACCAAAAGTCACATTTACCATGATAGTTTAAAATATCTGAGGATGCATTTGTATCAAAGGCAATTTATTAAAATGTCAGAAGAGCTGAAATCTACTTCAAGTGGAGAATAAAGCTAGCATACGGAAGCTTGCAGATTTGAGTTCCACCTAGGGAGCAGCAGCCGTGAATGAGCCCAACTTTTCCATGACAGCATAGCTGAAAATTACACCTCTTTACAAATGGAGTAAACTAGTAAGGGTGATTTTCATGGTCTCAAAAATGAGGATGCATAGCCTTGATTTTCCTTTTCTACATTCATCTTGTTAGGATAGAGGAAAAAGAGCAGGGCCAGCAAGACTGGGGAGGCAGAGAGAAGAGTGTGTGAGTTACAGTCCAGCCCCAGACAAGCCCCTCTCAATTGGTGTATTGCACCAGACAGCCTATCCTTCCAGTTAGTGCTCCCCACCCCAACACAATGAAAAGATATCCTATGGATGGGCTGGGAAGATAACAAGTGAGGCATGCCAGAGAACAGCTAACTGAAAGTGTAAAGACCTGCACTCAGGAAGGGAGTCAGAAAATGCTGGAAAGGGCCAATAATATAAAAACCTGTGACTGAGGCCACTTAGATTAAGTTATGATTTGTATCTATTGATAGCTTTAAAAAGAACATATTTTGAAAGTACCTTTTGATACCAAACAGCACTAGCTTGCATGGCACTTCAACATATACACTGCCAATTGAAGTTAACCCTCAAAGAATTCCATAAAGTATTTTTAAACCCATTTTACAGATGAAGAAACAATGTGTGATGAATTAAGAGATTTGCCCCATTGCAGATGGTTAGGAATTGTCAGAGCCTTGGTTTAAACTCAATTTGGACTCACATCCTCCAATCTTTACATTTCTAAATGGTACCTCTTACACCAGCTGGCAGTCCCTACTATTTTTGTCTGATTTAGTAAATTTTATTTCTCATGAAACTGCCTGCCTCTCCTGCAATATGATCCTCCTCTAGCTTTTTAAAGCATTCAATGGATAATTCTCCTAACACACACTCACTGGGCCTTTGCATTGTCCATCTCCTTTTCTTCCTGGTTAGGCTCATTTCTTTATCCATAGAGATTGTCTTATCTTTCCTTATAGATGGCAGCGACCACCAGATTACCTCTGCTCCCTGTGCCCCCACAAGCTTCAACCACTCCAACCAAAGCCCTCTCCCTACCAACAAGAACACTCCACAGAGACATAAAGCAGGCAGGCATTCACATCAATATACAATAGGTGATTAATAATTGTTAGTTGAATAGATGGTGGGCAGGCAGGTGGGTGGCACTGGTGTAATGCAATACTCTTTATAGCACTTTACAAGGTACACATTTACATACAGCATCCATGTGAGTAAAGAACTGTGCATTTGATACCGATCATTTAAATCTTCTCTTTCTTAAGTGTGGTTCATCACATCATTAAGTCTCAATTTCAGAATCCTGCCCAGAGGTCCCTAGCTGGTAAACAGTAGCCTTTCAACTACAGAAACAGCCCCCAATTACTTTAATCTCTGGCTTTCTTCTCTTGGCTTCCAAAGCAGCTCTCTGAGAACAGGCTTGAATAAGTCTATAAATTAGAACATGGATGAGGTGTTGTCCTGTTCCGGTTTCCTAGGGTGAAATCTGAGACTTCTGAAAATCTCTCAGTTACAGGCTAGATCAAGAAAGGAGATTCTACCCAAACAATTAGCTGTGGCACAGCAAATCTGAACAAGCACCAGGTAAGAACTTAATACTGATTCAACTTCCCTGTCTACACACACACACAGGGACCAGCCCTCCTGGCTTCTGCGCTCATTCACAGGCAGAACAGGTCAGAGCAGAACAGGGAATGACTCAAAATTCACTTACAACCTCAGTTTTCCGAGCCTATAAACACACATTCATCAGATAAAGCAACAGCAAGCAGGAGGACTTAACTGAAAGTCAGAAGACAGGCTGCCAGTTCCACCCACCCACACACCTGATCCTGAAATGCACCTACCTACAAGAAAGCTAAGGGGAGACTGCAACATAAAGGATAAAACACCAGGAGGTGCTACCCCGAGTTTACCAAGCAGAGTTTGGTGCCAACTGCACTTTCTTCCACTTTATCCAGAAATGCAAAACTCAAAAGAGCCCTTAGAATTGCTAATGGAAAGCACACAATCAGACTATCATGTCCAGACCAATTTGGAAAATAGCAATATTCCTTGAAGGGCCACAGAAGCATTAATAGGTCCATTTTTGCCTAACAAAGTTCCATATGGCTAAATATTTTAAATGTTTGTTTTTAACACGGAACCATTTCCAACAGGTATGCCGGGCTGCCCGGAGGATTCTGGCCTCTCAGCTCAGGTGAGACAGGAAGACAACTCACCTGCACCCTCAACACGGTGCAGTTAGCCAACGTCGCATCACCACTGAAACAAGGAGTGGTGAGCACAGGCCAGTGAGTGGTTCCTATGCGGAATTAAAGTTCTTAAAACTATTAAGCAGTCTACCCTTAATCCCCGCTGTCAATGAAAGGAGACATCAAAGTTTGTTCTCCTAACCTTATGCAGAGACTTTACGTGAGCGGTTTCCGCTCCGCCGCAAGGTCGGTGACACACATGAGCCCTCAGCTGAGAGCATCCAGGGACGTCAGGCCTGTGGTTTTATTGCAAAGTATGTAGCAACTAGCATTAACTGCGGCACTTCGGGGCGCTCAGAGGGCAGGACTCCCCGCCTTTGCCAAACCTCCCAAAACTCTGCCGAGGAAAGCTAAGGATGGGGTCCACCGCTAAAGCTACTCCCAGCTTTAAAGAAAGCTGCAAGCCTCGCCTTACTTTAAAGTGAAATGTTGAAGCCTCGCCTTTCTTTAACAAACAGAAAGTAAGGTGGGGGCGTGGGCCCACCAACCCTGCGGAACAGTAGAGACAAAGATCACCCAAAGGCGTACGCGCGCACACGCAAGCCGAGACGCTGCAATGCACATACAACCGTTCACTGCAGTCGGCTTCCTGTGGGGTTTGTTCCCCCACCCCAGCCCTCTCCAGAAAGTTTGAGACTGTTCATACCGACTTGCAAAGGTCCATTGTTTCCTCGCCCGTACACGTTATGAAAAGAGAGGGAGAGAAAGAAATGAAGACGGGGTTCCCAAAGACCCTTTCTAATGGAGAGGACTTAACCGGGCGAGTATGGTTACTCCTAGTACAGAGAGGAGACCGGGAAGGCGGCGCGCGGGGGCAGGCGGAGGAGGGTGCTGCGGCGGGCGGGAGATGTTTTCCTTTTCAGCAGAAGTGCCTAAATGCCAGGCCTCCGGCAGCCGGGAAGGTGTGCGGGACTGCCGCCCCTCTCCTTGCAGTGGCCCCCAGCGGGCAGCAAGGGAAGCAGACAGGGGGTGGCCGACCCCTTAGCTTACCTTCCCCTCCCCCGCTTAGCGTCGGCTTATTCAGGTCTATACAGGGGTCCAAAGAGACCAAGCCGAGCTTCTGGTGTCCCCGGGTCCGGATCCTCTCTCCATGGCCAGGGAGCCCCTGAAGCCCCAGCGCCCGCCGCCGCCGCTTTTATGCAACTGGCAGCCGCAGCCTCTGCCTGGAGGTGAAACTCTCCTCCCGGGAGTGACGCGCACTTCCCTCCGCCTCCGTCTCCTCCTCCAGCCGCTAGCCTCAGCGGCAGCGGCCTCGGTTCGCTGGATCCCGGAGCAGCCGTCCGGCTTTCAGCGCTCTTCTCCCGGTCGGAGGAAGAGAATCGAATCTCGGCCCGAGCGGCGTGGCTCGGTGCGTCCCCGCGACAATGGGACGGAGGCGGCAGAGCGGTGTCTGGGGAGTCGTGCTGGTCCCTGGTCGGCGGGCGCCGCGGCTCTCTTGGGTCGCGCTCAGCCTCCCCCGGCCAGACAAGCCACCAGGCTCCGCGGGGCCCGGCTGCGGATTGGGCGGGCGGGCGGACGGGGAACGGGAGGCGGGGGGGAGGAGCCTGTGGCTGGAGGAGGCGGGGGCCGCGCCGGGCTCCTCCCGCCGACCCGGGCCACGGGAGCTGCAGCTGCCGGCGCAGCTCCCAGGGGCGCCTAGGAGCAGCGCTCCAGCACACCAGCTCCGGCTGCCGTGCAAGCTTCCACCTCTGCCGCCACCGCGCGCGCCCGGCCTGGCTGAAGCTGTGCCTGCGCCCCCATCATCCCCGGCTCAACCTGACCCTGCTCTCCATAACCTCCCGGTCGAGCCTAACACTGCTCCCCCATCAGCCCCGGCTCAACCTGACCTCCCTCTAGCATCACCTCCCGACGGAGCCTAACCCTGCTCCCCCTTCACTTCCTGGCTAAGCCTGACACGGTCCCATAACTCCACGGATGAGCAGGACACCGCACCCCACCACCTCCCCGCTGAGCTTGACTTTGCGCCCCAATACCCCCACAATTGAACTGTTAACTGCTCCTTCATCGCTCCCGGCTGAGCCAAACTCTGCACCCCATCAACGCAAACGGACTTGCAGAACTCCCAAAATGTTTCTGTGTGTCCGGCCACCTGCACCACAGCCACCCCCACCTGGCCAAACACGGGTGCTGGCACCTTAGCCCTTTCGGAAGAACCGGCCTGCTCTCGGACTCAGGACAGCTCCTTTGAGTTCAGAGTGGCCCGGGCACCTGGCGCCTATGCCAGAATAAATATACCTACGCTCCCCACGCCCCCTGCCTGCGCCACTCTGGAGTGGCTGCCCCTCTCGGGAGTGACGCTAAAAGCCACTCCCCTGCCCACCCCTGCGGACTTCCGCCCCGGGACTGGAGTAGCCGGGCCGCCACCACCCGCCCGTTGCTGGAGCAGCGCTCTCTCCAAGCCTCGGCTCCCGTTGAGAGCGCGGCCCGGGCTTGATCAGTCAGACGCACCAGGTCTCAGGCTAGTGACAGCAGCAGGACTGCCAAATCCGGGCCGTCGTCATCCTCTGTTTACTCGGAATTGGAATTTTTCCCGCTAGGGAACTGTTCCAGCGAATACTGTAAAGATAGGATTGTTCAGCTTGCAGGGTTGCTCTTTTCGGTCCCGCTCTCTCTCCCTCCACCCTTTTAATAAAAACTCAGTCATGTAACCACGACACACCCAGCAGGCAGGCAGGGGAATTCCCTCTTTCGAGGGTTTGGTACAGGACTTTGTAGAAATCAGTGTCTCCAAGTCTTGGCTCATGATAAGATTCCTCTAGGACACTGAAATTTTTGGACTCCCAGAGCTCACACAACCTACTGAACTAGAGGTGCCTGGAATTATAATTGAGAAACAATGCTAGAGAGCATCCCTGATTAATTAAAACCTGTTTTGGCAGGTGCTCCAAAACCTAGTGCTACGACCTTAAAGAATTACCCAACTTTGGGAGCCACCATCTCTTTTGGGAGAGGGAGGAAGTTTCTTAAAATCAGGCAGATGGTTTTGAATAACCAACTGGAAGGGATGCAGGACTGTTCTAGAGGTCCAAAGGTGAAAAGTTTAGGGCCATGCCTTATGAAGACAGGACAGGTACTGTGTCACCCTGTGCAGTAAACTGAAAAATAGCTCCCCAAAGATATCAGATCCTAATCTAGAACCTGGAAAGTTTCCCTTATATGGAAACAGGGTCTTTGCACATGCGATTAAGTTAAGGATTTTGAGTAGGGGAGGTTTCCTGGGTTATCAGGGTGGGCCCCTAGCTGCAGGCATGTGTCTCTTTATGAAAAGAAGGCAGAGAGGAGAAGGTGATGGGACCCTGGAGGCAGACACTGGAATGATGCAGGCACAGGGCAAGGAATGCCAGCAGTCACCAGAAGCTACAAGAGGCAAGGGAGGATTCTCCCCTAGAGCTACCAAAGGGAAGGTGGTCCTGCCCCTCTTTGATTTCAGACTTCTGGTCTCTGTGAGCCTGGGAAAATAGATTTCTGTTCTTCAAAGCAACCAAGTTTGTGGTAATGTGTTACAGGAACCACAGGAAACAAATACATCCTATGACTGTTGCAGTGCCAACTTTACATTAAAACACCCATTTTCTGAATCTTCATTAAATGTCAGGCACTTTGCTTGGAGCTGGCAGATGCCATCTAATTTAATCCTCCCAATAACTATAATTCCAATTTTAAAGATGAGGGCATGAGGACTCAGAAAGATTAGGGAGCTAGCCCAAGGTCACACAGCAAAAGCCTGTTGGAATCAAGTCTGCCGACCACTCACACATTAAAAATAACAATTACAAATTCATATAAACTATTTTAAGGAAAGTTTTGGTTCTAAAGGGTATTACTTCCATTACCTGTATCTATTGCCAAGAACAAAAGAAAAAGTTGAGGACGCTTGGGTGCGGCTGGGGGGTGGCAGGGAGGAAATAAAGGAACTCTGTACCTCCTACTCAATTTTGTTGTGAACCTAAAACTACTCAAAATAAAGTTAATTAACAAAAAAAAGGGGTGGAGGGTGAATCTTTAAATAACCCACCTTTGAGAATTTTATAAATTCTCAATTTCTTTTGTTCTTAGGTATTTATCAGGAACATGAAAAATGAGCAGTTCTTAAAATAAGGCAAATGGTTTTGAAATAATGCAAAAGGAAATTACAAAGGAGAGAGAACACAGTGAAAGACCACAGACTTCTCTGCTCATTGGCACTGATATGTCACCAGCCAGGTTCCCTGGGAAGCAGGCTCTGAAACAGAGAGGCAGGATGTTCACTAAAGAATGCCCAAGGGGTCAACATCTGTGGAGGGAGGGACAGGAAGCAGGATGGGCCTCATGGAGAAGTTGAGCTGCAGTGTGAACCCAACCACAGGCTCAGCAGACCTCCCTGGAGGCCCTGGAGTAAGCTGGGCCCTTCAGAATGACTGGACCTAGATAGCTGGACCTTTATGTAGCCTCGCAAATTAGTTCTTGGCTGTGGTGCAGTCTGGGAAGTGGCATGACCTGGGCAAGGGACCCAGCAGTGGAGGCAGTCCCCAAGGGTACCAGTTGCTGACAGTGCTCACGGCGGCAGCACCTCCTCCCCTGAAGACAGATCTGGTGGGTGCATTGCCATATCACCCCCTCGCCCAGTTTGTGACCCACTCACCGTTGTGCCCTCCTTTCCGTGTGAGGAGGGAAAGCCGCAGGATGGTGGGGACACTGGTATGAAGTGTCTTTTTCCTGGTGGTGATGGTGTGAAGTCTGAAGGCAGGAGAGCACATTGGCTCGGAGTTGAGGCCCTTCAGTCAGGTTGCCTGGGTTAGAGCCAGGGTCCTAGCTCACTTGCTAGGTTACTTTGGACAAGGTGTCCAGCCTCTCTGTGCCTCAGTTTCTTCATTTAAAAATGGGAATAATATTAGTGCCTAGCCCACAGAGTTATGTGGATCAAACACAGTAACGCTGGAAGGGCCTTGGCCACACACCTCCACGGGCCCCGCACAGGGCTTCAGCAGTGTCTCTGGTCACCTCGTCGTTCCCCTATGTGATTGGCTAAACTGGAATCCTACATCAGGTTACATTCCCTGACTTTTTTTTATGGCAATTAGAAACTGAGTACTCTGGGAATCCAATTTGGAGGTAAAGGCCATGAGAAATATACAGTATGCATTACCTAAAGGAAGCTGGCACTTTCTTCTTAATGGTGAGAACCAGCAGCCACATTCCAAATGTGCCCTATTGTTTCAACCTCTCCAGCTCTGTGTGCTTCCCTATCCCCATCCCTCTGCCAGTGCCAGCCCAACCCTTTACCACACTTGCCACTGTCCTTCTCACCTCCTGAGAACTGTATCAAATGTCACCCTGTCTGTGAACATTCTAGGGGAAGTCAGGGCCTCCCCTTAGCTCCAGTGGCACTGCTGCAGCCCTCCCACCCTGCACAGTGAGTACTGAGGAGGCCTTACCCCCAGCCACTCATTTCCATCCTGCCCACTCCTCACAGCTGGTAGACTGGGCACCTGAAGATTCAGAGATTCAAGATGAAACCTCATTTTTTTTTAATCAGTTAAGTGGTTTTTTAAAATTGAGATACATACAATAAAATGCATAAATATTACTGTACAGCTTGATGAATTTTGACATGTGCATACACTCCCGTATCACCCAGATCAACATATCAAACATTCTCACCAATGTTCGACACTGTTTGCTGAATGGGTGACAAAGTAGTTTGCAGAGCCACTGGGGAGAGCAGAGAGGTCCGAAGACCATGATTTGGAAAGACTTTATGCACCGCTGCATTTAACATTTCATGCTTCTGCTTGCTTTGCATTCTCCAGCTCCAAACCCTTTTAAAATAGAACTTGGCCTGAGTGTCACCCACTCTTCTCCTGCATTCCCCCAGGCTGTTAGAAGTTAATTCCTGCAGTGTTTCAATCTATGAGGGTTTGAACAGATCATTTTTAAATCATGCTTTTCTGTTTATACATGTTCCCTGTTACATTAGTATATGGGTGTGGGAATGATTCTCCAGGTGACTAATGCTTCACTAGGAAGGTGTTGATATGCTGTTTGCCACCCTCACCTTAATTAAAAGTCTTATAAGAATTTTTTCCCATTGGCCCAGTGCAGTATCATTACGGAATGTTTGGGTGACCTTTCTCTGCTGTAATACAGCTGAGATTTTACAAAACCATCCTTTCTATTTTATATCCTTCCACCCAACTCACCTCATTCTTGCACTTCCTCAGCTTATGAAGACTGTGTATTTCCACTTAGATTTTCTTGGATACGTCCTTTAAAGTATGATGTAAACAATTCCGATAGAGCTAAAACTCTGACACAGTCTTTTCAGAAAAAGGAAAAGCACTTGCTCAAGTTTAAGCCTCCAAATTCTGTTAGGTAAGTAGGAATCAAACCTCTTTTATTTTTCTCATTTGAAAACATGAACTTCTACTCTGAAAAAAAGTGGTACCTTATCCTGATTTCTACCAAACCCCTTCAAATTTAGTAAG